ATATTACTTTTAAGCGTCCTGTTCATATTCATTTAACTTTAAAATTTAAGATGGATACTAACAAGAAGCATCGCAAGGCAACAGAGAAGAGAGTCTAATCAACTGCAAACTAAATCTCAGTAACTAATACATACATGAAAAGCAGAAGTAGTATAACATGTACTGATTAATTCAAATTTTCATCAGCATGACCTCAAAATTAAGAAAAACATATTCTTATTTTTCCAATCACTAATCAATATTTAATGGATTAATAGCACATCAAATCTTTATTATTTGTTCCACTGTTCCATTAAAAGCAATCACTACAGCCAAAAAAAAAAAGAGAGGACAAAGACAAAAGTACAACAAATCTGCAAACATACACATCCAACTTTCAAAAGGTACAAAGATAATAAATATATATAATAAAAATTTGCAAGTCACATAAGAAGCATGAAGCAAGTAAGAACACGGAATTTTATGTGAAGAGGAACACTGTGATTTATTCAGGCTGGAAAAGAATAGAACAGCAAAAGGGAACAGGTATCCAGATAGCCTTGCACCATGACATATAATGTATACAGACTGCCTACAACTGCTAGGGCACTAAGTAACTAAGTTATGAGTAACTGAACATGTAGGAGGAAAGAACTGCAGATAATGGAGTGGTAAATGAAGAAAAAAAATAAATAAAAAACCTGGAAGAGGGTGAAGACAGGAATATACTACAAATGAGCTCATGGAAAAGGGTGTTGTGAAGGCGGTACATAAAACTGACTCAGATGTCAATGACAATGATGTCAAAAAGTAGGCTTTGGTATTAGTGGTACTTAAACCTTTGGGTTCAACTGGATGGAATGGACAGAATCAAGCCCTCTCCAAATATTGCAATTAGAATTCTAAAATAAATCAAAATTAACCTCTACCGCCTACATTAGTCACCTGCAGTCCATCATCAAATGGTAACCATGTCAAATCATATATTAGATTTGAATGATTCAAGATTATTGACTAGGAATTACTGGTCACAGATTCCAATTACTAAAAAATCTGTTACACTAAATTATATGAGACATGGCAGAAGCAGTCATGACATGAAGAGAAACTTTGTGGTTCACAGTGTCATTAAATGACACACAAGCCCATCTAGGAATAACTTTCTTGGTATGAAAACAGGAGCATCAATAGAAGACCAATGCTAATATAT